ATAGTTTCAGTTGAAATTAACGGATGATCGAGGGAACTTATTATTTATCCACGATGCCAGTCAATTGGATTGTGCCTAATGTTTTAGCTTGGAAAGTAGATAAATCCCCAACTGTTCTGAAGATAAAAATAACAAAAGCAGGTGGAAACATTTTGAATTCCCCTAGTTAAACTAAACCTTGATTTTTTAAGTATTATATTTTGATAGAAAGCAAATTTGTGCCTCCTGATCAGTGACTCTATGTCTGCATTCTTTAGTGACTCTAAAATCTTGCTCCTGAAAAGACGGCGGAAAGATTCTCTTCTTTTTCTCATATTTTTCTTGATCGAAATTTACCGAGTCACTCAATGCTTAAAAAATAAATAAAACTGTTCAATAAATTAAGTAAAACAATCAATATGGACACAAAGAGATATAAACTGAGCTTCAGAAAACTTCTCAACTGACAACGGGCATTGGACATTGCACCTTTTTCTCGTCGAGCTGAGGTCAATATCTTCTTCCCATCTTCTCTCCACTAACTCTCAGCAAAACATTGTAAGACAGAAAATTATTAAAACAATAAATTATAATTCCCCTTCCATTGGTAAAAGTTAACACTAAATGAACTGTTGTGCTTAACCTTCAAACAATTCTGTTTAATATTCATCTTTTGATTTATCTGTTTATATAAACATCAATTTAACACTAGGACCAGATCAGCTATGATCAATGACATACCCTAGCCGAGACTTATAACTGAAGTTACTTATTGCAACGAAAGGATCTATTAATCGACTCCATTGTTACTTTTATTAAAATTTTTAGAAGGAATTCTGACCTGGAACAATTGGATACTTCTATTAAGCGCTAATAGACAATTGGAAAAGTTGCGCGCAATAAACATTCAAATCTGGACAACTTCAAATCCTGATATTTTTTGTACAAATGATCACATACGTCTAAAAAAACAGCGACAACGCAAAAAATTTTTCTCGAAAGTGGGAACAACAAAACAGCAGGAAAATTTAGACATCCAACTCAGTCGATTATTCAACCAAAAATTTGGTCTGTGAAAAAAACACTATGTTGCTGATAAAAAGTTTAACAAATAGCTGACAAACCACTGAGGCATGGCCATTTTACTGCAGAGCTTTTCTCGTGCTCTCATAGTTTAAGCATTGCTGAAACTTCCAATTTCAAATTGATTGAATTGTTTTTGACCGATTTGCTAATACTTGAAGTAGAAATCAAAATAAAACTGCTCGTATCAGGGCGAGCTCCTTAGTGTTCCAACTGCTTTCAAGGTCTATGAAGCAGTGGTTTTTATTACAAAATGATGAAGTTTGTAATCGAAAGACAACTTTTCCAAATTTTTCGTTAAATCTTGCCCCCACACGCAATGTTAAGTAATAAGTGATAGTTTTTGCTCCTAGTAGCCTGGCAATTGTTACAAATAGCCCGCTTCAATTAATTTGGAACAAAATCTCAGAGCGATTAAATCTCCGCTTACGCATTAAAAGCGCAAAATATGTCGCGCATTAACCCATTATCCCATTGGTCATCTTTAAGCCATCTTTACTTTACAGAAAACAATCACAGGTAAAGTAACTTTTTAAATTTGAGCTAAATACAACAACACCTTTTGGCTGATATAAACAAATTTTGTCAAAATTTTTTGGTTAAAAAATCAAAGAATTTCTTGAAGAAAAAAGCGCCAGCACAAATATTTCGTCATCTTCTTCGAAATTCGGAAGAATAAAAAGCCGTTATTCTCTGAAAAACAAAGTCAAGACAGAATCGAGGTATATAGAAACTGGATTTTTATGTATTTTCAATCGAGACGCTTAACCTGACGAAAACCTAGTGACGAAAATCTGAAAAAAAAATATTCCAAGCGAAGATGTCGCAAAAATGGAGTGGTCTTTTCCTGAACCGAAGTGCTAAGTTAATAATTTATAGAAGAGTATTTACATCAAAAATGATTTTAATTTTTTCTTGTTGTTAGATGTCGCTTTCAAAGGTTATTTTCTATATCAGTGGTATAGTGGAAGACACTTTGGCTTTGAGCCTTGTAACAATGGTTTGACTACCGAGTTCTCAGCGAAACCAAGCACGGTTCACCTATTTATTTGTACCCAGTAAGTTTTCTCAAACAGATCTGAAATAATTTTTTTCAGATCTAAATTTCAGATCTAAAAAGGGTTGTGAAATGTTTAAATAACGCTTGGATACTCTAAGGATTGGTAATTGCAGATCTAATTTCAGATCTGAAGTTTTGTTTTTTCTTGGCTATTTCAGTATCTGAAAAGAAATATATTTCAGATCTAATTTCAGATCTGAAATTTAGTTTTTTTTATTAATTCAGATTTGAAAGTTGAATGAACTTCACACAATTTCTTTCTTTTTTATTTTTTTTTGTTTTTGATAGCTTCTGCTAGTTACTAGCAAGCACTCAGCAAAGTCTCAAATTGGATATTTTCGAAAATATGTTTCCCCAAGCGAAAATATGTTTCCCCAAGAAGCGCACTAAAGTAAAAAAGTTGACAAGTTTTCTAACAATTTTGAAAAATTCTTAAGCCAGTTGAAGAATGGATTTAATTAAAAAAACCTGTTTAAGAAATTATTCGGATTTTTTTACCGCTAGTTAATCGTAATTAATAATAATTGTGTATCGCAGGAACATCAAAAAATAGAAACTCAATTTTTTGCTCGAAATGCGTATATTACAATTTAACAAAGGGTATCTCAGATCTGAGTTTTTATTTTTCAAGGTTATTTCAGAGCCAAATTGTTTATTTCAAATCCAAATTTAGGATCTGAATTTTGTTAATTTCTTATCAAGATCTGAAATAAAGATTTTCAGATCTGAGAATAACTCATGTGAGAAATAAAGAATTTCCTGGTCACCTTTTCTCTAGTAAAGTTACAGGCAAATTGAAGTGCACTCGTTAATTTTCGCCTAGGGGAAAATTTAATTGGTTTTAATGTAATCTGAAATTCAAAGATTGCTTGTTGTTCCAATTTTCAAAGGAAGTGATGAATATATATGCCTGGAATGAGTTTTTCATTGAGACCACACCATCTTACAAACTGACCCTATGGTCGCTCTGAAACAAGTTTCACAAATTTGCTAGTTTGGTACTTTAATTGATACCGGAAGTTCAATACGAATAAACCATGGGTGGCGAAGCATACCGCACAAGAGAAAAAACGTTCAAATTGAGTTGAGTCAAGCTGATTGGTCTTATTAATTTTGTGCAGTTCATGTATTCACCACTTTATATTTGATGTTATCCAAAATTTATTGTTTTTCAGTTTTTTCTTAGCAAAATTTATTCCATGCTGATAAGGGTCATTCGAAACATTCAGAGCTTTGTCCTAATATGCGAGCAGTCTTATTCTTGCTAAACAAATGAAGAACTAAATTCCAGCTTTGAATTTCCAAACACAGTCAGCAGACAGTTGGGAAAGAGTCAATGAACGCAAAAGAAAACGGAAAGGAAAAAGCTGACTTTGGCTTCAGTATAAAAAATTCGCGTTTTTTTGTAATAATGACACTATTAAATCATTTCTGTAAAACTAAATCAATCTTAAATTTCAAAAAAAAACTGAAAAAAAAATTATCACGACCTTTTTAAGAAACTGAATCAAATTGAACGACTCTTCAGAAGGGTTTTCTCAACCCTACGTAAAATTTGACAAAAAAAAATTGGGACCTAGTTCTTTTAGCAGACCGGTGTTTTAGCAGACCATTTTTTAACAGAGTCTAAACCATTAACAAGTCCAAAAGCTAGCTTTAAATGAGACATTGGTAAGAAGCGACCACTGATCATTGTATTAACTAAAGAATTTCAGGCCAAGACTAAGCATTGTTTCACATCTACCAATCAATTATTGGCCAAATGAATCACATTGGTCTGCTTAAAGACCCAATGTCTCTCTTTTTATACTGAAAGAGTGATCTGTTTTAATACCAATCGCCTGAAATTGTAACAAAAACCGCAGACAAAACTAACAGCCATGAGCGAAATTTCAAAACTTACTAGCAAACTTAAGTTTTGTAGAACCAAATTTAAGTCGCCATGTAGCATACGAAGTTTGTTGGGCTTTTTCCTGTTCGTACCATTTGAAAAATGAGGTGAAACTTTGTATTCGGGTGTGTTTATTTTTTTTTCTACTTTTTTCTTTCTTTTTGTGTTCCACGCAAAGTCAGCTACCACAAATAATCATCGGAAAGAGTTAAGAAATATATAATACTGAAGCTCTTTCAGTCGTTATTGGAACGATTTTTATAATTTTTGAAAAGTATTTCCCGGTGTTGAAATCAACCGATTTGAATTTTTTTTCTTCTAATTTCGAGCGAGTAAAGGGAGCGAGCAAGCTTATTTATGCTTAACTTAGGCATTAACAAAAGCTTTACAATGCTTAATTTTAATTTCAATCGGGTAAAATTAGTTTTTGGAGATTCCTAATGCCATTTTAAGAATAAAAAACTTCAAAACTTCAAAAAATTTCTGCAAAAAAAATTTGAAAAAAAAATTGATTTTTTTTAATTTTTTTTTGTTTTTCGAGCCAATTTTTTTTGTTTTCAAAAACTTTTGTCCTGTTTGCCTATTTAACTATGACTGTCGAGTATGCCAAAGTTGTATTTTTGAGTCAGATACGTTTATCACGCCACGCAAAAAAACTATACTCATTTGGAAAAAAAATTCGGAGATTTTAAAGACTATGGTCGGAATATTCTGTGCTACTTACACAGACACCGGCGGCTATCCTTGTTAGATCACCTTATAGCTCATTGTGCTTTTTCTGTTCGTCGGTTTTACAAAAACTGAAATCAAATTCCAAAGAGAATTGAAAAACTCAGTTAATTGCACTGATGCGAGCAGTTTTGTTTCATTTGCATCGCAAAAAATGTGATTACCTACACATAAAAGTTTTTCAGTAACCGATTATCCTTGTGAATTATCGCGGAGTGTTCCCATTTTTCTGGTTCTGATTATAGTAGAAAAACTAACCTTATTTTCTTCAGCTATTGGTCCTTCTAACACTGTACTCGCTATGAGTCCAACACTGAATAGTGACAGTCGTTTGGTCCCCTTCAACAGAATTAGAAATTTCGAATCATAGCTGTTATCATCGTCGCCAAAGTACACCACTGCACTTCGAAATGGATTTTTATCGTTGCGGTTTGTCTTTTCGGACTCGGCTTTGGCGTATAATTTTTCTACAAATCGTATTCCCGTGTTTCTTTGTGTTCTGCCTTTTAACTGTTTGTATTTTTGCTCTGTCCAGGCATGTATGTAGAAAAGATTGCTGAAACATTTTGAAAATTTTAAAATCGAGGAAGTAAAATCAAGTTTAAACAGCTTCAGTGCATTACAACCTTGCTTAATTGCACTGAATTATACCTAGCAGAAATATACCTAGCGCTGGTGTTTTAATTGTACCTAGCAGAAATTCCGAAACTTCTGCCAGGTCTAGTTAACTTTATGAAAAGCCAAAGCGGGTTATAATAAAATGATGCCATTTAAACTTGATTCTAATTTCTCCTCCAGAAAAATTTATGAGTGTGAGTTGGCGACATATCATTATCTACACTAATGCATCGTCAATATCAAAAATCCTTCAACGGTAATAATTTCAGAGGAGTATTTTTTTTTGGCATACAACTGACTTAAAGGAAATTTGGGCTTTCAGAAGAGTTTCCTAAATCAAGTGTTTTTTTTTCAAAATTGGTTAAATTTAAATTGTGTGGCATAACTTTAAGTTCAATACCAGAAAAAACGTGACCTATTAGTTAGTTACAACGATTCATCTATGAGGAAATGGACCAACATACGAGCTGTTCAGTTCTTTATGGAGAACCGCTATTGCGCCCCTGTTTAAAAACTATACATACAATTTTTTGGAGACACTCGAAAGAAAGGCAATGTTAATATAATCCATCAAAATGTAACTCGTCTTATATTGGCTATACTTCTCTAATATTGGCTATGCTTTTGAAGTCCCTTACCCACTGGAGTAGTCTTGCAGGTATCTTAGCACCAAGGGGTTGGTCTGGTTCGCATCCTCAACCACAATCCAGTCACAGTTGGGTACTAGCTGTAGAGTCTGTTTAGTCCGCAGTAGATCTGGAATCTGACTGGATCTGTTGTAAGTTGGCGTGATCATTATCAGTCGATTATCTGTCTGCTTAGCTCGGCTGAAAAAAGGTCATTTATGGAAGTAACTGGGTTCAGGGGAGGATTTAGGCTGGATGAGGCAGCCTATTCCTTTAGTAGTTAGGTTCACTCAGAGCCTAGTGATTCCCACCCTTGGTACTAAATAACAGCTTCCATTTTCTCCTTCTACAACTTTTTCAAACAATTTTGCAAACTACGCTCCCCGAGAAGAATCCACCAATGACGAGTTTGTGCGTTAAAAAAGTTTGCGGTTATTGTTCGGACCATTTGAAAAATGTGAAGGAATTTTTTGGAAGAACTTTCTGGAGTAATTTTGTAATCAGGAGGAAATTTGTATTGGAGGAACTTTTTATTTTTATATTGTGTTTTAGCTTTTTTCTTTTTTTTCTTTTTGTTTTCCACGCAAAATCAGGTACCACAAAAAATCATTGAAATGGGTCAAACTTGATTCATGTTGAACACCTTTCAGTCATGATTTGAACAACATTGAAAAAATTTTCTCAGTGTCAATGACAAAATGGTTTGGAATTTTTGAATTTTCTTTGGGTTTTGGTCTCTTTACGTGTTAATGAGGTTTGTCAAAACATAATTTGCAGGCTTACAATAGCTTATTTAAGGTTAATTTAAGCCGTGAAAACTTCTTTTTACTCGAGTAACGTTAGTGTTTGAAAATTTTAAGCACCATTTTGGGAATCCAAAAATTCAACACCGTTTTAGGAATCAAAAATACTCCAGCAAAAAAAAACCTAAAATATTTATCAACTTTTTTCTACGTTTTTGGTTTCGTATTTTTAGTAATTTTTCAACACAAACTGTTTTCTAATAGCTCTTTTTGACTATGACTATCGAATATAGCTACATTATATTTTTTCGTTCAGATCTTACTAAGACACCACACAGAATAAACGACACTGAGCTTAGAAAAAAGTCATTTTTCTAAGATTATGGTCAGAACACTATGTGCAATTTGCACAATAACCGGCGATTGTTGTTCTACCCAAAAAATATTAACGGAAAATTGTTTGCATGCATAATGTTACGTTACTGAGTTGCAGAAAGGAACTTGGTTCATTTCTCAAAAACTTTTTTTTCAGAAAACCCGTTCAGCAATGAAATTTTACGTCCAAAAAATGAAATCAAAAACCTTTTGTTAAAGCAAAAAACACTTATAACTCAGGAATTTTTGCAATTTCAGCTCAAACGATTTATTAAAAATTCGATAGGGCGACAATTTGCAACTTGCGGCATTTGGTAATCAGCGACAAATCGTAACGAGGGACAGTTCTTAACAACGCTACGCCTCGTTGCGCTTAAATCCGACACGAAAGGAATACTGCGGGTGAATAAGTGTGTCCCCGGTAAACATACTGTTACGACGTGTTGCTTGTTACGAGTCGTCACCTGTTCTGAATTTTCGCGTCACAAAAAGTTCTACCTGAGATTTTTCAAAGTGGTTCAATTTCCTTTCTTGAATGTTTAAAAAAATCCAAGAAGATGAATGGTTTTTATTTTAAGCTAAGTCTAAGAATTGATTTGTCAACAAAATGGAAGTTTCAATTGGATTTGTGATATGAATCTTTGAAATATTTAATTTGATAACTTGACTTTACCAAAAATATATTTTGTAAGGCCCACCAATTAAACATTGCTCGATTGAGAAAGTCAATGAAAAGAGTTCTTGGTTTCTTAAACTGTTAAAAGATGCAAAAAAAAAATTGGAATCTTTGACTTTTGTTCCGATTTTTGCAACGAAAGAGACGGAATATTTGTGCTCGAGGTTGTTATTTTTCCTTCAGACAAAATTTGATTTTTCAACTAGCCATTTTTGACGGGATTTTTTAATATCATGCAAGAAGTATTGTTGTACTGAGCTTAAATTTGAAATTTTTTTACCATTGATCTTTAAAGTTATGGGGGTTTAGAAATGGCCATTTTGGCCATTTTGGAACAATTAACGCGCAAGAAAGTTCGCGCTATTAACGCGTAAGCGGAGATTTGAACCCTCATAGAAAACTTTCCAAATTGGTTGAAACAGGCTATTTGTCATAATTTTTGCGTTACTTGGAGCAAAACTTACTACTTTGTACTTTAAAAGGCATTTGGGGTTATGATTTTAAACTTTAAAATTAGCGTTTGTAGTGATGATTTTAATAAACGGGCTATCTTGCTACTTTTCAATTTTGTTTCCTAATTTTCCCCACAACACGCTATTTTAAGAGAAAGTGATATATTTTGCGTGTGGTACGTATTAAAAAACTAGCAAAATGCTTGCTTCAGTCAAATCTGGAAAAATGAATTTGCCACAAACAATTTTTTAGCATATATCAGATCAAGTGTCAATCATCTCAAAATGAATTATTCCATCAAAACAATCCCAAAATCATTCTTCTTTTACTATAAAACAAATTAACACAGATGAAATGTTTAGGACAGCTTGAGGACAAATATTCTTTCACTTTTATCGCATTTTGGAACCAGAATCAAATTAAACAAGACTATTTGTATAAAGGCAAAACCCTGAACGACCCACTGCCTTCTAAAGTATATGGAGCAGTAATAAAATGAAAAAAGTAAATATAAAAAAAATTATATGAACAAGTTTTTTGTCAAATTTGAGACTTTTTGTGAGAATCATCACCCCACGTGCCATATAAAGTACAGCGTGATAAAATTTCGCTCCTAATAACAAATCAATTATGACAAAAAAAGCTTCCTTAAATCAATTTGGAACGGTTTCTGAGCCGGATTTAATCGCAGTTTACGCGTTAATCGCGCGAAATGTATCACGCTTTAATTGTCCCAAAATGGCCAAACTGGTGATCTTTAAACCTCCATATTTTTATGAAAAATTATCACAGGTTAGTTTTATTCCATATTTAAGCTCAAAACAACAAGATCTGTCAAATATTATAAGAGAAATTATCAAAAAATTGCTAATTTAAAAGTCGAAATTTGTCTGAAGCAAAAAAAGCCCACCCCGAGCACGAATATTCCGTTGATTTGCTTACGAAAGTCAGAGCAATTATTACAAGATTGATTGTAGATCAGGACAAAACAAGGAAGGCTATGATGTCCCTTTGAAAATGAGGAAAAGACTTTCATCTTAATATGAAGAAAATTTGAAGAACATTTTTGTTCCAATTGTCCCTCACACGTTAGAAAGAAACCAAAAGTCTCGGATCTTATTGGTGTGACTCTTTTTGAGTCTTGCATCATATAGGTGTGACTTAATTCCTGGCCTCAATTGATCTTTACTTATTCCATTTGACAGCTTTTGCGTGGAATAAAAGCGCAACATATACCGAAGCAGTTTTAACCATTTTCAAAACCGCATAATTTAACAAGGAATAATCACAAGGAGTTTTGTTCCGACTTTCTTATCGAAAGTAACGGAATGATTTTGCTCGGGTGGGTTTTTTTTCTTCAGACAAAATTCGATTTTTTAACTAGCGTTTTTTGACAGAATTTTTTATATCATTCGAAAAGTTATGTTGTTTCGAATGATATGAAAAATCATTTTCATATAGTTATGAGGGTTAAAGAATGCCATTTTGGCCCGTTTGGGACAATTAACGCGGGTTATATTTCGCGCTATTAACGCGTCGGTGGAGATGTGATCCGTCTTAGAAATTGTTCCAAATTGGTTGAAGGAAGCTTATATGCCATAATTTATTTGTTAATAGGTGCAAAATCTACAACTTTGTACCTAATATTACGTGTGGGTGGATGATTCTCACAAAAAGTCTCAAATTTGAGAAAAAAAGTTCATTTAAAATTGATTCATGTTGACTAATTTTGATTAAACTCTTTCAGATAATTCATGAAAATTGGTTAAAAATCAAACCATCACACTCATAACTACTAAATAATGAAAAACCACCCCAGTCAAGAACAATTGGTCAATTTCTTATGATTCTGGTTCTACAATTTGTTTAAATTCCTTGATGCATTGAAATTTTTACAACAGTTTTTCAAGCGAACAAGACTGCACGCATGAAGGCAAAACACTGAAACATCTGACTGTCCCTTAAAGTCTATGGAATCAGTTATTACTAAAATATATTTTAAAAATCAAGACTTATACTCAAAAAAGTGTCTAGAACGGGTTAGTTAGTCCGAATAGATTAATTTAAGTCAAATTCTGATGACATACAAGCCGGATTCAAAATCTTAGAACGGGTACAGAAATAACGTATAGGGCGCGTTAATTGTGCCCACATAGGCAAACTCTTCAAGCTTCCATAAACATTAAAAAAAGGGATCTTGGATGAAAAAAAAATAGACCAAGCACACGTATTCATTTCTTTCTTCGAAAATTGGACAAACGGTTTCCTTGTGAAAAATAAATTAATTACTGCTGATTATAAAGCCCATTAGTCCGGGTTGACCTGCACACAAAGATAATGTTAATCATACAATTTCACAAATGGAGCAATGGACAAAACGCTAGTAATACCATTTCATACTATTTTCAAAAATACCAAAATTCAACGAAAAATTTATTACCTAGTTAAGAGGATTTTTGAAGCAGATACCCTAAATGTAATGGTTTTGAAATTAAATTCACAAAATTTGATTTCAATTTTTTTTCGTTTGAAAAAGCTGGCCATACAGTTGAGTGACTAGCACAACAAAGCACAAAAATTTGAGGGAGGGCTTACTTTGTTTTTTTTTTCAATCGCGAAAACATTTCTAAGCAGAAACAAGCAAATTTCGAAAAAAAACTAAAAATAAAATCAGAATGCATTTTTCAGACTGCACATTTTGTGCAAAAATTGTGTTTTTCTTTTAAATAGTAAGATAATTTTAAAATTGGTCAAAAAAATAGGTAGCGAGTTAAAAGCACACAAAGATTCACAAATAAGCTTTTTAGCCGTACGAAAAAGTCACAAACTTTATTACGAGACCAAACTGTGCACTGGATTACGAGACCAAACTGTGCACAATTTGATGTCAGTAGGTCACAGAAATTTAAAGACAAGTCTTCAAATGTGTTCCAAAATCTGAGTGGATTCCACGC